AGGTGAGCCAAGGAAACAAATTGGAATTGAGCTGATAAACCTCTGAAGTGCAAAAGGTAGGGATTGTTTGCCATCTGCAGGCTGATCACTAGCAAAGTTAGACTGATTATAAGAACATAAGAACCGCTACATTTGGTCAGACCAAAGATCCATCTAGTCCAGGATCTTGTTTGCTGACAGTGGCCAATGCCAGATGCCCCAGAGGGAGTGAACGCAACAGGCAATCATCACGTGATCCCTCTTCTGTCATTCATTTTCAGACAAACAGTGGCTAGGGACTCCATTCCTATCCCTCCTGGCTAATAGCTATTGGTGAACTTCCATGAATTTATCTAGCTCTTTTTTGAACTCTGTTAATGTCCTAGTCTTCACCACATCCTCTGGCAGGGAGTTCCACAGATGAACTGTGTGCTGCATGAAGAAAAACTTCCTTTTGTTTGTTTATCGGGGATACTTTCATGGTCCTCTTTACCACAGTAATAGAACACTCATAATTGTAATGTATTTATCTTCACAACACCCCTCTAGAATGGGGAAGTTCCATTTTACACAGAGGAAACTGAGACAAAGAAAGATTACATGACTTTGCACTGTCACACAGCAAGTATGTAGAAGAGGAGGGACTTGATCCCAACTTTTCCAACTCCCAGGCTACTGCTCTAACCATTGGGCCATCATCCTCACTGTATCACAGATTTGCACATTCAGACAGCAGAGCTCAGAGTGTCCGTGGAGAGAATCCAGGAGGAGTTCAGGTGCCGCTCTTTCATTATGCATTCCAACAAGATCCGCACACCATTCTCTTCTCGGTGGTCCAGTGGTTGGACTTATGCTCTTTGTAGCTCCATTAGAAATGCTAACTTCACTGTACAAGAACGACAGGGAAGTTCTTGTCTGCATTTTGTACGAGTCCCTTGCTATAAACACAGATTTTTAGACCTTTAATAAGACGAGTAAGTCCCAAAGGCACATGGGAGGGCTTGCCAAAGAATCCAGTTGCAGAATGTTGCAGCATAACAGTCCATTCTAAGGTTTCTCCCTCCTGCGTCTATGGAAACTCGCAAGCAGATATGTAAGGTTGGTAGCCAATGGCAACAACCGTATTAAATGACTAGACTGTCAAACTAAGCATTAATAAATGCAACTATTACATTTTACAATTCTCTCCTTCTTTGCAGCACATCTTCATTTAAAGGTAATGCTCACAGGGTTTGCATCCTGCTGATAGGATGCCAGGCCTTAATTTACCGATATTCTTCAGTAATGCACGGTTTAGATACATTCTGTTAATAGCATTATGAGCATAATTTGTACTAATACAAAATTAGAGCTGTAATTTGCATAAACAAATTACTGTTTGGATTAGTGGTAAATGGTTGAGGACTTGATATTTGAGTGGATTTGATTTGGCTGCAACAGCTCTGTGCATAACAGCTCATGTACAGAAACAAGGCACGTGGCTTTACACAGGTTGAATGCACGCTGGCTTTATCTAGAAAAAGTCAGTCTGTCAGTTGGAAGGGTTTCCTGCAGCGAATGAGCACAGGGAGGGTAGAGTTGTTGCTAAGGTGTTAGTTCACACCCTCTAACAACTGTTGTTCATTTTATGGATCTGTCAACAGGCCCGAGATTAATTGTATCCCACTGTTCTAGAAGCACCAGGACCAAGCAACATTCCCTCTAATTTTTTTCCTCCCTTGTGCAGAATACATTTTGTTATGTGCACCACGGTATGTGCAGATGTGCACCACCAATAGAAACACATGCTGCTGGCTGTGGGGGGCTGTGGACACTCTGTGAATTAGCTGGGCAGCACCTGAATCTATCCTGGGCAGCTGCCCAAGAGTTTAGTCTATAGAGAACGCTGGGTCAAGTGATTATGTTACATCTTTCTCCCTGACTGATGGGAGTTAATGGGTTTCTCCATTCTTGTCCCTCTGGGGCTGGCTACAGGATCCGCTCTTACTGCAGAGAGGGAGGGGAAAGGGAAATTAGTCCCAACAGCTGTCCATGCTGCCATGAGATTGGGAACCAAAAGTCCACTCTCTGCCATGTGGGCCCTAGGCCTGCCAGTGTCTATGCCTGAGGTTACACAGGGCACTGATGAGACGAGCAGACCCTGCAAGATCCACATGGAAGGCCCTAACGAGGTGCTTATGGATCACTTTCCCACAACTTTAGGGCTTCAGTAAGTTGGTTTAGACTCTATTCTGCTGCAGTCGTGGGACACAGTTTAGTCACTGTTCGTTCCACCTCTCTGTGAAATTCCAGGCCTACATCTGTTGTCAGTTACTTCGGGCTGCATATGAGCTGCTGGCCGCATGTGGGCTGCCCAGGCATTTCCATCTGACCAGGAAGCACATCATTTATCGTCCTTTCTTGGGGATGTTCTGCAGAGAGGGCATCTTCTCCAGGACTGGTGCAGAACAGGTGCAGCCTGGGAGGGAGAGACTCCCCAGGGAGCCAACTTCTCCTTGTAAATGAGCCATTGAACTTGGTTTTCTTGCCCTTGGCAGCTACGGATCTTCCAGGAGCCAGGGTAGGCACTGGATGTTCCAAACCTTGGGCAGCAGAACATGCTATGCTGTTTCACTGGGATGGCTGTGGCCACGGGTGTGTATTTTAGTAGTGGTAAAGTCAGTGCTGTATTTAGAAGACACACAAACCTCGTTGTGTTCCATGCTCCTATGCACTAATAGCCATACACAGAGCCCAAGCATTAAGTTTGCAGATGATACCAAACTGGGTGGGGTTGCAACTTCTTTGGAGGATAGGGACATAATTCAAAATGACCTTAGCAAGTTAGAGAAATGGTCAGAGGTAAACAGGATGAGGTTTAATAAAGAGAAATGCAAAGTGCTCCACTTAGGAAGGAACAATCAGTTCCATACATACAAGATGGGAAGCGACTGTCTAGGAAGGAGCATGGCGGAAAGGGATCTAGGGGTCATAGTGGACCACAAGTTGAATATGAGCCAACAGTGTGATGCTGTTGCAAAAAAAGCAAATATGATTCTAGGTTGTATCAACAGGTGTGTTGTAAGCAAACCTCGTGAAGTCATTCTGCCGCTCTACTCTGCACTAGTTAGGCCTCAGCTGGAGTACTGTGTCCAGTTCTGGGGGCCACATTTCAAGAAAGATGTGGAGAAATTGGAAAGGGTACAGAGAAGAGCGACAAGAATGATTAAAGGTCTAGAGAACATGACCTATGAAGCCAGGCTTCATGAACTGGGCTTGTTTAGTTTGGAAAAAAGAAGATTAAGGGGGGACATGATAGCGGTTTTCAAATATCTAAAAGGGTGTCACAAGGAGGAAGGCGAAAATTTGTTCCTCTTGGTTTCTGAGGACAGGACAAGGAGTAATGGGCTTAAAGTGCAGCAGGGGAGGTTTAGATTGGACATTAGGAAAAAATTCCTAAGTGTCAGGGTGGTCGAATATTGGAATAAATTGCCAAGGGAGGTGGTGGAATCTCCCTCTCTGGAGATATTTAAGAACAGGTTAGATAGACATCTGTCAGGGATGGTGTAGACGGAGCTTGGTCCTGCCTTGAGGGCGGGGGGCTGGACTCGATGACCTCTCGAGGTCCCTTCCAGTCCTATGATTCTATGATTAGTGGGACTGTGGAGTATCAGTCAGCAATATTTAGGGCCAGTGAGCAGAGCTGGCTCAACCAAAGCTGGGGTGCGCTAGGAAGCCAGTTGATATTCCCTAGCAGCCCTCAGCCAGCGTCAAGACCCAGAGTTCTCTTCCTATCAGCACTTCCCCCACGGCTGTTCCGGCCGGTGGAGGATGGAGCTGCTCACGCCTGTAGGGAAGAGGGAATGAAAGTGTACGGTGTCCTGAGCTTAGGAGTGGAAGAGCCGTAAAGGAAGTAAGCTGATGTTAACTAAGAGGAATGGGGAACCTGTGGTTTTTCTCTGCCTGGGCTGTCAAACGGCAGGAAAAGCGAGTTCCTGGTTCCTGTAGTTCAGGGGTGGGCAATAATTTTTGGCCAGGGGCCACTTAAAAAAATGTTGAAATGCCCCTGGGCTGCCCCAGAAGGGGCGGGGCCTAAAATGGAAGGGACGGGGTCAGAATGCTTCCCGGCTTCCCCATCCACAGGCCACACTGAGTAGTCGGGGAGTGGGGAAACCCCTTTGCCCCATACGCTTTCCCACTAAGCGCCCATGGCAGGGTGGGAAGAGGCTTCACACACTTCCCCGCCCCCCCAGGCCAATAAGAGTTTGGGGGCAGGGGAGCGCATGAAGCTTCTTTTGCCCTGCCCCCGCCCTGCGAGGAGCTCATGGCACTTAGAAAAGTGCCGCATGCTCTTAGCAGGGTGGAGGAAACTTTGTGCACTTCCCCCGCCTCCAGGCCCTAATTGGCCTGGAGGTGGGGAAGCTGCAGAGCCTCCGCGGGCCATATCAACCCGCTTGGTGGACTGGATCCAGCCCGCGGAGGCCCTTTTGCCCACCCTGATCTAGTTTATTTAGAGCTCTGCATCATGATGGTTCAGGTTTGAACCTCTCTAATCTGGCACCCTCAGGACCTGACCAATGCTAAACCAGCGAATTTTCTGAATCACAAGAGGTCAATATTGTCTATCAGCATTTCCAACACTGCCACTGATTACTGGGCTCTTAGAAGACATTTAGGGGGGTAAATTAGAGCTAATTAGCAGCACAGCACACAGAACCAGGACTGGTGGCTGTAAATAAACTTAATGGGACTGCAGGAAACTTGGCCAGATCCATGAGGAGCGGACATCCGGTTCACTAAAATCCTGCTAGACCACGGATGGTGCCGGACTAGGGAGGTTCAACCTGTAACACAGAGCACAAGCAGGAAGGATCCAGCTAGCACTGCAAGAGGCCCTTGGAGGGCTGGATCCCATCCCCCGGTGATTCCCTGCATCTCTGGCTTTGCCCATGCCGTCTGAAGCAAAGTGTAGCTTTGTGGGACAGTTTATGGATGCAAAGCTCATTTCTTCTCCCCCTTGTGGGATTTCATTGTCTTTGCAGATCTCCAGTGTTAACCCAAATGCTCCAGTCGCCCCAAGGCGGCAAAGCCCAGCAGCTGCAGCCGAGATGGAGGAACAAAGGCTTTTGCTGTATAGGAGGCGTGATGTACAGGGTGTCGGCCAATAAACTCTCTAAAACCTCCAGCTCCCCAGTCCGGGGAGGCGACCTGAGTAACAAGATGGACGGCAGACCAGGTAGGTGGTGGTAATGCCTCCGTGTGGAGAGTTTGCACGTCTGAGAGTGGGCATTCCAGGTGAGAGCAATTGAGCAACATGTCTCTGCATTCCCGTCTCTCCTGCTCCGTCACGTGGCATGTTACCCTGCGCTTTTGTCTCCCGCTTGCCTGTGCAGAGTCCCAGACTTCCTGAACTCAAGTGACATCGTCCCAGTTTTGTAAACCCCAGAGGTGCAGAAACATTACAGTGATGGGCCCCCTAGCAGCTGCCTAAGATAGTTGTGCCTGTGGCTCCTTTGGTTCAAAGGTATCCATTGGTTTCAACATATTTAACTTAATTAGGCCTCAGTTGGAGTATTGTGTCCAGTTCTGGGCACCACATTTCAAGAAAGCTGTGGAGAAATTGAAGGTCCTGAGAAGAGCAACAAAAATGTTGAAAGGTCTAGAGGACATGAGCTACGAGGGAAGGCTGCAAGAACTGGGCTTGTTTAGTTTAGAAAAGAGAAGACTGAGAGGGGACATGAGAGCAATTTTCAAGTATCTAAAAGGGTGTTACAAGGAGGAGGGAGAAAACTTGTTCTCCTTGGCCTCTGAGGACAGGACAAGAAGCAATGGGCTTAAACTGCAGCAAGGTAGGTTTAGGTTGGACATTAGGAAAAACTTCCTAACCGTCAGGGTAGTTAAATACTGGAATAAATTGCCTAGGGAGGTTGTGGAATCTCTATCCCTGGAGATATTTAAGAGCAGGTGAGACAGGCACCTGTCAGGGATGATATAGACCATGCTTGGTCCTGCCGTAAGGGCAGGGGACTGGACTCGATGACCTCTCAAGGTCCCTTCCAGTTCTAGTATTCTATGATTCTGTGATTCTATGATGATACTGGTTGGAGTAGATAAGCAGTGACTGTTAACTGCTTCTTGAGAGATTTGTCCTGATAACATTAGCGGTTTCACATCTTCATCACTTTTGTTATAGAAGCATCAGTTGTTGGAAGTAAACTGATAAATCCTCAGGCACATCTACACTGTAAGGCAATAGTCAAATTAAGATACGTTACTTCAACAGCCTTCCTCCTACTTCCCTTACTGCTCATGAAATGAGGGTTACAGGAGTCTGAGTAAGAAGTCCTCCAGCTCGAAATTAATCTGAAATAATGGCTTGCTATTTAGATGTGCACTTTTTTATTTTGAAATAATGTCAGTTATTTCAAGAATGATTAAAGGTCTAGAGACCATGACCTATGAAAGCTTGGACAGTCTCACTGATACTGGGTAATAACTCAGGGTCAGGGCTGGCTTCCTGCATCCCTCCCCCTTGTTGGGGGAGAGGGATAGCTCAGTGGTTTGAGTGTTGGCCTGCTAAACCCAGGGTTGTGAGTTCAATCCTTGATGGGGTCATCTAGGGTTCGGGCAGGGATGGTACTGGGTCCTGTCGTGAGGGCAGCAGACTGGACTTGAGGTCCTTTCCATTTCTAATGCTCTATTATTCTATGAAATAACACTGCTGTGTAGACATATCCTCAGTTTAGAATGGCTTGTGTTCCTATCCCAGTTGTATTTGACAGCTAGTCTTATGTGTGTCTCTTAAGCAAGCTAGGGCTTGAGGGCCCGCTGTGTATTTTCCCAAAGTCACCTGGACAGTCAGTCATGGACCAGGGAGCGGAAGCAGGACGTACAAGTGTCCTATTGTCCTACCCATTGGAGTTCAGCCTTGCTTATTCTAATAAAGCTTGGTGAGGTCAAGTGGTTGATCTGTAGCATTTCTGGGGGGAGAGGGTTGAGTTTTGGAGAGATGGAGGATGGATGGATAAACTAGTGTTACTACACTTGGATCTGACTTGATTCAAAGTCAAGGGCTTAATGTTATATATTTAAAACATTGGGAGATGGACAGGTTGCAAAGAGAGCTCAGGACAAGTGAAGTGGAGACAGGAGGTTTCTTTGAAAGGCCCAGGCTACTGAAGGGAAGGACATCTCAACTGCGCAGACACTGATTGAGATAACCAGAGTGGCCTCAGTCAAAGGGGAGACCTCCTCACAGGTTCTCATACAGCTCTGTTGCCTTGCATAGTTGAGGGAGCATCTCGTTATTTTAGGAGAGTTTTCCCCCTTCCCTCTCTTGGCCAGCGGAATAACCCAGGTGTGATAAACAAGACAGAAGCTGGTGAGCATCTGGAGCCTGCTGATTACAGTGTAAACGGAACTGAAATGCTTCTCTCACTGGGTCTGAAAGTGGCATTTCGGCAGTACGCCCACAACCCCGACTTCACGGAAGTGCAGGGTGAGGTGAAGGAAAATCTTTGGAATCGATTATTGTCCAAATTAACTCAGGAAAAAAAATCAATCTACATCTAATTTCCCTCTTCCCCATCTTGAAAACAACCCAAAAGAGAGTGAAAGCCCAAAGTAAATGAAATATTTAAAAGGGATGCTGGCAGCCAGTGCCACTAAACAAACCCATAAAGAACAGGATTAGAGAGGGAGCAAAGGAGAGAATCTTGAATCGGCACAAAAATCCTGTCAGCAGAAGAACTCTGAAAGTTTGAAAAATGGACAGAAATTAAGAGCAAATGGCAGCATCTCAGCAAAGAGTAAACACCCCGCATCCCCTCCCTCCCGGCTTGCATGCAGACTGTAAGTGGTGTGAAAGAGAAAATGACGAGTGGGAAATGAGGGGTAGACTAGAGAAGTAACAGCGGCAATGATAAATGCTTACAGCACATCATCTCCGTAGGTGAAGAGGGCGGAGATTTAGCTTAAACCAAGGATTAGCTTCCCAGGCCCGCCGATGGGAAATGAAGCGGTGTGCAGATAATGCCAGAGATGATGATGTTGAAGAGGTCAGGGGGGTGGAAAGTTGATGAAGCATCGTTTCCAGGTAATCTGCCTTCTGAGAGCATTAAAAGAAGTCTGGCCAGCAGTTTGGGAAGGAAGCTTTAGCTGGCACTTGCACAACTTAGAACTGTTCAGGACAGAGACCTGGGGCTGGCTACGCAGGCACTTCCTGTACCGCCGTGGTGGGCCACATGCAGCCCTTCAGAGCCCTGTGTGTAGCCCGCAAGATATTTCGTTTACATTGCCCATGCGCGGGGAGCCGGATTCTGCTGGATCCTTCTGCTCCAAAAGCGCAAATGTTGTCCACTCAAGTTAAAGAAGAATCCTGATGAGCTATGAGCACTGTAGGGCCTGTGACACATAGCTGAGTGGTCTTCATACTATTTGGCATCCAGAGAGGTGGTGTGCGCGTGCGTCCGGCCCCTGCCCCCCCAACCCCCACACTGACAGTTAACACAGATTACAAAGTAAGTACATAAGGATATTCCTTATAGGGGGTCACCAAATGAAATTAATAGCTGATTTAAAACAAAAAAGTATTTCTTCACACAATGCACAGTCAACCTGTGGAACTCCTTGCCAGAGGATATTGTGAAGACCAGGTTTAACCAGGGTTCAAAAAAATATTAAATACATTCATAGAGGTTAGGTTTATCAATGGCTATTAGCCAGGATGGGTAGGAATGGTGTCCCTAGCCTCTGTTTGCCAGAAGCTGGGCATGGGGGACAGGTGAAGGATCACTTGATGATTCTCTGTTCTGTTCATTCCCTCTGGGGCACCTGGCATTGGCCCCTGTGGGAGGACAGGACGCTGGGTTCGATGGACCTTTGGTCTGACCCACTCTGGCCATTCTTATGTTCTTGAATTATCATTTGCATTACGCTGACACTTCTTTATGGCTCTCCAAATACTTGAAGTCTCAGAATCATCTTATGGAGGGACATGGAGTATTTTGGCAGGAAATAAATAATTAACGTAATTTTTTTATTCTTAGATTAATTTTCCTTTAGTCCAGGGGCGGGCAAAATAGTCGGACTATGAAAGTAGGCAAGCAGGCTTTGTGCACCAGAGGCTGAGGGTTTGCAAATATTTTTCCTTCTAATATTTAAAATTGGATGAGCATTTGCAACAATTTGCCTGATTTCACTAGAGGAAAAAGGGACTTGGGCCTGATCCATGCTTCCCCACTTACCTTCTGTGATCAGCCATTACAGTGATCATGGGGGGGAGGAGGGATGATAAGGAACAGAGAGTAATTTCTGACTGGGAGAACCCAGCGCTAATAAAGATCCCTTAGTTTTAGATCTCTTCTGTTCTGAGTGTCCCTCTTACCCCTTCCATTTGGGCGTTCAATGTGTAACCCTATAGCTCTGTCTCTTTGTGTGATTTTTTTTTTCAGTCCTTTAGAAAGTGGCTGTACTTTCTCAGGTGTGGAAAGGGTAAATCCACTAAATACCAGAATTCCTTCCTTCATGTGTGTTGTGTATCAGACTCCACATATCCGCTTTATCATCTTGATCTTAAGCCCTTTAAAAGGTTTATTTAAGAGAGCGTTTCAGGTCTCCGTCAGTGCAAAACACGAGTGTATTGTGGGCTAGCAAGGAGATGGGAAACACTCTTGAAAATTTAATAGTTTGGAATTTATTTAAGGGGTTATAATTGTGCTTTGCGATTCTGATCTTTGTCTGAATTTATTGGGGCAGTATTTTCTCTCCTCCAGTCCTGGCTACAAGTAGAGTTATGAGACATTGCTGACCTGTGCTGCTACCTGCAAATCAGATGGGCCTCTGCTCAGACTGTCTTCCAGGGGGCAGACACCAAACTAAAGATTAGAAAGGCAAAAGAGAGAGTACCTGTACTTTGTGTGATCTGCTTTGGGAGTAGGTGCCACAGGTCTCACCTTCACGGCAGTGGGTTCTCAACTTTTGCCACAGACAAGAAGCCAAATATTGAATTTCAGTAGCTGTTGAATGCTAAACAAACCAGGCAGATCACTGCTTTTCCCCTCTCTTTGCATGCACTGTTGCCACATTGTGATTCTTTCATTCCATGATATCATCTAACACCCCAGGGCGACAGCAATGGACAAGTGTTAGTGAGTATTGTTTAGTCTGCTGTGCTCTGCCAACCTCCTCTCCCCTGCCCCTGGCAGCTGGACCATTCCACTTCACTTCTGCCTTCCA